CACGCGCGCACGTTGCGCTTTTAGAATTGCTTTGAAGGCTCGTTGGGCGTTGTCGTGTTGTCCACGGGCCAAGCAGTTTGGCGAGTCTGAAAGGTTTCAGTGTTCATCCGCTCAGATGTTGTTTCTATGATATCTCCTCGAACCTTGGTCTCTCTATACTCAAGTGGTAGACGACGCGAAATTTATAATTTTCATCTCTCTACTACATGCTGGTATCATGGCAAATACTTGAAAATAACTCTATTTTGAAAAAAAAAAAAAAAACCGCTTCAAGGTGGACCTGGTTTTTCAGTACTGACGGTTTCGCCCTACTTTTCAAATTTGAGCACACGCGCCTTCACAGGGAACTTTTGGAGCACGGCTCATGCACCCAATCTGGGCGAAATATATAATTTTCATCCCTCTACTACATGCTAGTGCCATGGCAAATACTTGGAAATAAATCTGTCTTGAGAAAAACCGCTCCGAAGTGGACCTGGTTTTTCCGTTTCGACGGTTTCGTCCCATTTTTAAAGTTTGAGCACCCGCGCCTTCACAGGGAACTTTTGGAGCACGGCTCATGCACCCATTCTGGGCGAAATATATAATTTTCATCCCTCTACTACATGCTAGTGCCATGGCGAATACTTGGAAATAAATCTGTCTTGAGATAAACCGCTCCGAAGTGGACCTGGTTTTTCCGTTTCGACGGTTTCGTCCCATTTTTAAAGTTTGAGCACCCGCGCCTTCACAGGGAACTTTTGGAGCACGGCTCATGCATCCATTCTGGGCGAAATATATAATTTTCATCCCTCTACTACATGCTAGTGCCATGGCAAATACTTGGAAATAAGTCTGTCTTGAGAAAAACCGCTCCGAAGTGAACCTGGTTTTTCCGTTTCGACGGTTTCGTCCCATGTTTAAAGTTTGAGCACACGCGCCTTCACAGGGAACTTTTGGAGCACGGCTCATGCACCCATTCTGGGCGAAATGTATAATTTTCATCCCTCTACTACATGCTAGTGCCATGGCAAATACTTGGAAATAAATCTGTCTTGAGAAAAACCGCTCCGAAGTGGACCTGGTTTTTCCGTTTCGACGGTTTCGTCCCATTTTTAAAGTTTGAGCACCCGCGCCTTCACAGGGAACTTTTGGAGCACGGCTCATGCACCCATTCTGGGCGAAATGTATAATTTTCATCCCTCTACTACGTGCTAGTGCCATGGCAAATACTTGGAAATAAATCTGTCTTGAGAAAAACCGCTCCGAAGTGGACCTGGTTTTTCGGTTTCGACGGTTTCGTCCCATTTTTAAAGTTTGAGCATCCGCGCCTTCACAGGGAACTTTTGGAGCACGGCTCATGCACCCATTCTGGGCGAAATGTATAATTTTCATCCCTCTACTACATGCTAGTGCCATGGCAAATACTTGGAAATAAATCTGTCTTGAGAAAAACCGCTCCGAAGTGAACCTGGTTTTTCCGTTTCGACGGTTTCGTCCCATTTTTAAAGTTTGAGCACCCGCGCCTTCACAGGGAACTTTTGGAGCACCGCTCATGCACCCATTCTGGGCGAAATATATAATTTTCATCCCTCTACTACATGCTAGTGCCAAGGCAAATACTTGGAAATAAATCTGTCTTGAGAAAAACCGCTCCGAAGTGGACCTGGTTCTTCCGTTTCGACGGTTTCGTCCCATTTTTAAAGTTTGAGCACCCGCGCCTTCACAGGGAACTTTTGGAGCACGGCTCATGCACCCATTCTGGGCGAAATGTATAATTTTCATCCCTCTACTACATGCTAGTGCCATGGCAAATACTTGGAAATAAATCTGTCTTGAGAAAAACCGCTCCGAAGTGGACCTGGTTTTTCCGTTTCGACGGTTTCGTCCCATTTTTAAAGTTTGAGCACTCGCGCCTTCACATGGAACTTTTGGAGCACAGCTCATGCACCCATTCTGGGCGAAATATATAATTTTCATCCCTCTACTACATGCTAGTGCCATGGCAAATACTTGGAAATAAATCTGTCTTGAGAAAAACCGCTCCGAAGTGGACCTGGTTTTTCCGTTTCGACGGTTTCGTCCCATTTTTAAAGTTTGAGCACCCGCGCCTTCACAGGGAACTTTTGGAGCACGGCTCATGCACCCATTCTGGGCGAAATATATAATTTTCATCCCTCTACTACATGCTAGTGCCATGGCAAATACTTGGAAATAAATCTGTCTTGAGAAAAACCGCTCCGAAGTGGACCTGGTTTTTCGGTTTCGACGGTTTCGTCCCATTTTTAAAGTTTGAGCACCCGCGCCTTCACAGGGAACTTTTGGAGCACGGCTCATGCACCCATTCTGGGCGAAATGTATAATTTTCATCCCTCTACTACATGGTAGTGCCATGGCAAATACTTGGAAATAAATCTGTCTTGAGAAAAACCGCTCCGAAGTGAACCTGGTTTTTCCGTTTCGACGGTTTCGTCCCATTTTTAAAGTTTGAGCACCCGCGCCTTCACAGGGAACTTTTGGAGCACAGCTCATGCACCCATTCTGGGCGAAATATATAATTTTCATCCCTCTACTACATGCTAGTGCCAAGGCAAATACTTGGAAATAAATCTGTCTTGAGAAAAACCGCTCCGAAGTGGACCTGGTTTTTCCGTTTGGACGGTTTCGTCCCACTTTTAAAGTTTGAGCACCCGCGCCTTCACAGGGAACTTTTGGAGCACGGCTCATGCACCCATTCTGGGCGAAATGTATAATTTTCATCCCTCTACTACGTGCTAGTGCCATGGCAAATACTTCGAAATAAATCTGTCTTGAGAAAAACCGCTCCGAAGTGGACCTGGTTCTTCCGTTTCGACGGTTTCGTCCCATTTTTAAAGTTTGAGCACCCGCGCCTTCACAGGGAACTTTTGGAGCACGGCTCATGCACCCATTCTGGGCGAAATGTATAATTTTCATCCCTCTACTACATGCTAGTGCCATGGCAAATACTTGGAAATAAATCTGTCTTGAGAAAAACCGCTTCAAACTAGACCTGGTTTTTCCGTTTTGACGGCTTCGTCCAACTTTTCAAATTTGGGCCTCCGCTCATCCACAAGGAACTTGTTTAGAACATTCGGGTCTTTAACTGGGAAAAATGATAAAATTTAAGTCCATCAAATCAATCATGGTACAACTGCATATCCTTGAAAATAAACCTCCTCGATGGGAATGGCGTTCGAGCGAGGACGTTACGTAGTTCTCATTTTCCAATGTTCTCCTCGCTGGATCGACCGACATGTTTTTTACTTGATATTTTGAATTTATGTGCTTGACGTGTCTTGAAGAGACCATCAAGTACAGTCAGCTTCCTTGCCAAATAATCACTCAATATTCCCACTTTATTCGCCTTAAATGTAGCTTCGCCAAGGTCAATAATTTCTTATTGATTAATAACAATATTTCTATACCTTTTCTTAGCCATGATAAAATTTCTAAATGAAAAAAACAAATAGTTGCTTTCTTTGTTTGGTAGTTTAGTGATCCCAGCAACAGAATGCAGGCAACGATTCTGAACAGCTGGCTGATCGATTATGCGCCTGGTTCGACAAACTGGTCTCAGGAACCCGAGCAAATAAGTTTGAGAGAAGACAGAGCGTACACTACGCTTCCTGGATGTTTTTGCCTTGTCGCAGTTATATGGCAAATCTCGTATCTTTCTGTATTTTTAAATTAGGGAGGTTTGAAAATCACTTTGTGTGGCACGTTTGGGAGAGGTGCCCCAGAAGGATGTTTTTTCTACGCATTACAAAATATCATACAAATCACGAAACTTTGTCATATGATTGGGGGAGGGTTGTATTTATAATATAAAATTAAAATTTATTTCACTCACCTAATAATATATTTTAAAAACCGATCAAACCTGATACCACCCATAGTGGCTATACATCAAATAATTTACTCGAATGAGGAACCTGCAGTTTATGCGCTGTAATCTTGACTTTTTTGCGGAAGGATTGGATCGAGTCAGAGGTTGGACGGGTAGCATGGCAAATCTGAAAAAATGTGATGTTGAGCAAATATTGCCGTATTTCTATATTTAATACATTGCTTCTATGGGAGCGTTGCCATAATCCGCCAAGAGATGGCGCTAGCATGCGATGGCACAGATTTCTGGGGATGCAATTGACAAAGCTTTGGCGTAAAAAAAGAAATAATAAAAAGGAAATTTTTATTAACGCGTATTTGACGTCTGTAAGCTGCGAGGTTGAATGTCTGCGTAGTGGCACTAGGACATTACAGCTCAATCATTCATTTTCTAACATTCTCACTCGTTTTTTTTTTTTGTAAATACCTATGGCGGAAATACTGATGTCATTCACTCACACACATACACGGACATATATAGATACACACAGATATAGGCACAAATACACGCGAGCCCTCCAACACGGAACACGCTCTGCGTTAAGTTACCGTATTTTCCGGTTCATCGGTTGGTTCTTTGTATACGTTGCACTCCCTATAAAAGGCTCGTAAAAAAAAAAAAAAAAAGAAAAGAAAAAAAGTTATTTTGTAAGTCGCGGTTTTGTATGAGTTGCGCCTACATATTTGTACGGTTGATGCGGCGAAACCGGACTGAAACGCTCGCGTATGTGTATTATGACCGTAATATGCGCGCGCGCGAGAGAGCAAGTTTCAACATTTTTGTCGAGGAATCGAACGAAAAATGGAACCGCCGTTGCGAATTTTATTACTTAAGGTCCATATTTATATATATATATATATATATATATATATATATATATATATATATATATATATATATATATATATATATATATATATATATATATATATATATATATATATATATAAAAGATGCGTGTAAGTCGCACCCTTGTATAAAACGTACCAACAAAGTTTTGAAGTAAAAAAAAATAGAAAATAGAATCGGTGTTTCTACACCGGAAATTACGGTATTTCTGAATCGAGGACTGCTAGGACCCGCCGGTAACCGGTCGCTGCCTTTCTGGTCGTAGATGCCCGCGTACAAGCTGGTCGACTACAAGGTTCCGTCGTCCGGGCGATTGGCGGCCCTGCTCTTCACGTACGCCGGGGTGGACTTCGAGTACGTCACCCTCGAGAAGTCCAAGGCCGCCGAGGCGGAAGCAGGTAACGCACCCAGCGTGGACATACACCCCGACGGCTTCTCCGGGCGGCTTCCGCGCGGCAACGAACGTCACGTTGCGTCTTCACAAAAGGGAGTTTTAGTAGATCGTTCAGATAATTCCGATAACCATCCCGATAACGATACAATGCACGTACAGAGGCGCCGGCGGAGTATCGGGTATCGTTATCGGAATCATTGGAACGGTTTACTAAAACTCTTCGTGCAGATTCGCAGAGTTGGTGCGAGACTCGTGAGAGGCTGGTGCACATAGAATCTATCCTTGTGCTAAAATTGACCGTGTTCTATGCAGTGGGATGATCTGTCTTACCGTGAAATGTGACTACTTGTTTCTTCGCTCTGGAGGGATGCTTTGGCCCGTGTAGTGCGACTTAAAATAATAATCGCCGGTACAATGCTCGTGTTCATTCGTGGTCCAGAGGGAGGCGTGCCGAACCTTGACCCATACCTTGGCCTAACCTCGGTTCGCTTTTAAGTATCTATACCGGAACGGCTGGCCACCGAGAGACGGTCGCTTCTTCAATCTTTTTTTCGTACAGACAGTGACGATGGGCGCTGAATATTTTTTTCGGACCGCCTCATTAGGCGAGGCAGAGAGGATGTTGAAACAAAACTAAAACTCCCGTGTGCAAAACACATTAAGAAATGTGACCTCCTACTAATGTCGTCCGGCTATTCCTTTAATTAAGATTTTTGTTTTCTGAAGGCGGTGTATTGGAGGCGACGGGGACATGACCTTTTTTTAACAATTCACGCTTCGTTAATATGATCCAAGCACGTCTTTCGACATATCATTCGGTTAGTTTGTGTGAAAACAAAGTGCAAAACCAAAATTCAGCTACTAAGGAGCGTTACCGCACCCAGGGTTGATTAGCGATTTTATTTATGTGCATTAATCTTATCGGGGGGAACTTAGAGAATGCGCGTGTCGATATCTTGGGCGCTCAATCGTATAACTGTTATACAGGGTGATACAAGGAGACGGCAGGCTCTTTAAATCGACCGGAAAATTCGGTTTCTTAACCTATCGCGCTACGATTTTGTGCAGCGTTGTCCACAGATGGTGCTACGAGCTGATGGTACAAATGAGGCTATAGAGAGTTTTAGTAGATCGTTCCGATACCTCCGATAGCCCCGATAACCATACTATGCATGCGCAAGGGAGGTGGTGGCGGAGTATCGGGTATCGTTATCGGAGTCATGGGAACGATCTACTAAAATTCTCTAGTGTGGACAGCGCATCATCATGGTGTTCGTCATGTTTCTGTACGCGTTCTTTCATCGCCTAACAAATCATAAACAAAAAAAGGCCTAGTGACTTGCGCTTTTAACGCTGCCCGACTGGGAGTTTTCGTAGATCATTTCCTCCGTTCGCAACGTTCTCCGCCACCCGCTAGGATATCCGGAACTCTGCAGTCAAGGCCAGCGGCGCGCATGCGCACTAGCGGCGTCTTCGTTGCGGAGAGGGTAGCGACGTAGGGAAAACGATTCCCTAAAACTCCCTGGTATCTTGCAGCATCGGCTGTGTCGGGACTTAAGCTGAAAAGAAGCATACATTTAGCAGAAGACAGCGTTACTAGGCACGCTAGATGGTTGTTATTCGACAAACTAAAACCAAAGCAAAGGCAAAAAAGAAAACAAACACATCTTAATTGATGTTTGGCTTGTCCTCGTTTTTCGCCCCTGTCTCGGGTGTACTTTTGTATGTAAAAGTATGTACTTTTAAAAGTGTGATTGTAACGTGGGTCAAAATTATGGAAACAAAGAAAAAGTATAACCTGAGAAGATACTCGTCCAGTTCGTGTCAGAAAAGGGCTACACTTGTTTGGATATGAATGGTAGCTTAAACCTTAGAAAGTTTTTTAAGTTCATTGCAAAATAGCTACCGGTTTGAGCCCATGGCTTTTTCTCGGTGTCTTAAATTTCTTGAATTGAGAACTCCAACTGGGAGTATGTAGTTGCCTTCGATAACAGTTATTTTGCGTCGTTGATTTTGAAAACAAAGTGGGTGAAAAATGAACACCCGTGTGGTTAAGCTTTAATACTTTTTTTCTAAAAAAAAAAAAAAAAGTATAAAAGCTTAGCCGACATTACTAAGAATACAGGTTCAACAAGTCGTTATTAAAATTTATTCATTTTGCAATGTTTTGCCTATGTATTGCGTGCGTGGAGTTTGCTGCCAGGAAACATCCTGTGTCTTGCAACCAACCAGAACAATATTTTTTCTCCACGTTAAGTGAATTGTTACAAATCCACTGAATCAATGACCATCTGCATATAATAGACCCTTTTCAAAGGTTGATGAAATAATTGGGTTGTGTGTACCATTTATACAGCCGAAAGTTAGTCAGCTCAAGTGGGCGACTTGTGTCTCAGGGGTAGATGAGAAATTTAGCCAGTGCGGTACAACCGCTAGCTTGGGGTCTTTAACGTGCATCACGCAGTAGTGATACACGACCGCACACCGGTACGATGCTCATCCAGATCGAAACGGGCAGGGGTGAAGATTGAACCCAGCATCCTGGGTTCAATCCCCAGGATCCTGGGAACCCAGGATCCTGGGCGAGCTGGTGAGCGCTAGAACACTCGCCCACCGATTCCCCCCAAAAAGTTAAACAAGCAACATTAGCGTGTAAGTCGCAACCTTGTATAATACGTACCAACAAATTTTTGAAGTAAAAAAAAAAAAAAAAAACAGAAAAAAGAATCGCTGTTTCTACACCGGAAATAACGGTATTTCTGAATCGAGGACTGCTAGAACCCGCCAGTGACCGGTTGCTGGTCGCTGGCGGTCGCATTCTTGGTGATAGGGAGAGAAAATTGGCCTTAGAAAAGCGGGACGAATGTTTGTCTTTTTAGACTTAGGCTAGATGACGCTAGCTACTGCCAGTTACAAAGGACATAGCCATTAACATACATCCATTCATCCATCTATCTATCCTTGGGCACGGGGCGCGCCATTTAATCCGAGTCCTCCCTAAACGCATACGCAACACTCGCTCCAACACGCGTGTTCAGAGTACGTACGTGCCCAAGCAATTGTCAACCACGGCCGGACTGGATTCGCCCGTTTCGTTTTCATGCGGCCTTTTTCGGCGCGGGAGAAAGCGTACGCATAATTCCACGTGAAGATGCTGCGACCCTACTATTTTTCGGTGTTCCATCTTGCTTCTCAACGGGTTTTGTTTCGCGTACCTCGATGGTTACTGTTGTGAGCCCGAATTGCAAGTCGAGATCGAGGACGACCTTTGGCGTGTTATTCTACCAGCTGCCCACAGTACAAGCATTGCGTGAACGAAGGGGATACCGAGGGAGAAACAAGTACAACCGTGTTGTGATTGTGAACGGTAAATCTCCATCTAAAGATGTGCGCACCGCGGGCACTTTAGACCCGAGGGTTATGTACCGGGATGCAGCATAAAGAGCATAGTCCCGGAAGTCGTGCTCACGGTGTTGGATGGGTCTTCGAGGAAGATATAATTCCTGCAACCAGGAAAGCCAGAAGATAATTGGTTTCAAAGTGTTCGTCATTTGCGCCGAAAAGCAGAAATCTAAATGCAGACGTGTTAGCTCCCCAAAAGAATATCATGAACAGACCGAGCAGGATTAACAAAATGGCGCTCAAGCACGCGCTCCCGTACCCTTGACTGCATATCCACAGAAATATGCATCCTCGCAGAAGAGGCCGTAAGAGAGCAAGCGCGAGTTCAGTCCAGCCGTGGACGAACTCGGATAATTTGCGCAGCACTTGTTAGATGGCGCGCCCTTTTGAAAAGGGTCTATCGAGTGGATCAATTTTCTCCGGTTCATGTTAGTCTATATCTGCCTGGAATGTCGTTTTCTCTTCTATAAGAATCGCAGTAGGACCGATAGTATGCGGAAACAAACTTATAACTCTAGAGAACCGTTCGAAATGTGATAAAGGCTTGGCGTGTTCCTTGATCTGTGCGTGCGTTGCCTCCCTCCTCCTGAAAGCGGCGCCCTTCGGATCGCTCCCGGTGCTCTACCTGGACGGCGAGATGCTGGGCTCGGACTACGCCATCTGCGTCTTTATCGCCAGGGAGCACGGTAAGTCTCTGCGGGAGAGAAACCGGCGTCGGGGACCGGCCACCGTCTCGAAATAGAAACATTGTTATTTTATTTATGTACTTACGATGCTACGAACCTTGCGGCCAACGCAAGAGAGAAAGAAAAAAGTTTGTACAAGCGTAACAAACACATTCCAGCACTCGGACGGATTACTACACTAGCGCAGGCAAGGTAGTTGCCTCATGTGTTATCTTTGAAATACCTATTCAACATGCGATACGTGCATGCTAGTCAGGCAAACACTCGCGTAATGCCCACTCGAATGAGTTGAGATCATGGCAGCTGATAGCTTTGTTGGGCAGAGCATTCCATTCAATAATTGTTAAAAAAAAAGAGTACTTGAAAACATCATTTTTATATTTGTAAGGGGCACTCGCCTTGATGTTAGTGGTCCTCTGGGAGCGGGATGTTGAAGGCCACAGGTACAACTAAGGATCAGTCTTCGTCATTCCGTTTCCAGTACAAAAAAGTTCTTTCAGTCTCGTCATTTGTCTTCGCTTAGCCAAAGAGTCAAGTTGTGCCATTTGTCTCATTGCTGAAACAAAATCTCCGCGGTTGTACCTGGAAAAAAAAAAAAAAAAGAAGAAAAACTACAGCCCGATTTTCTACTCTTTCTATTTGAGAATTATGATTTTTCCTTAATGTATTCCACACCCAGTTCGCGTATTCTAATACCGATCGAGCATAGCACTTATAAGCAAGTAACTGATCGCCACTGCTAGCGTGGATAAGTTTTCTTCTTAGGAGTACTAACTTTTTGTAGGCTTTTGCACAAACGTAGTCCACGTGGTTGTTCCATCGCATATTACTGGAAAATACAACACCTACATACTTAAATTAGTTTACCGTTCGCAGCGGTATGCCTTAAATTGTATATCAATATTCTAACTTTTTTTTTTATTTGTAATGCTGCAAAAACCGTTTGGTCAAAATTGATCACCATGCTCCATTTTTTCACATCACGAGTTCAGTTTTTCCAGAGAAGCGTTGCGTAATTCCTGGTCTGCAATCGTACACACATTAACGAACAGCATGCAATCATCTGCAAATAGTTTTATATGAATGGCAGGATTTAATATTTGGCTATATCGTTGATATATAAGAAGAACAAAAGTGGACTTAATACGGATCCCTGTTGTACCCCCGAATAAACAGGTTACGCAACAGAACATGCATCATTGCTGCAGACATACTGTGTTCTGTTAGTTAATTATGACCTGATCCACATTATTATATTCTTATTCAACCGCAGGCAATGAAGTTTCTTGATGCATTTGTTATGAGGCACACAATCGAACGCCCTGGAAATGTTTATAAACACAACGGCTACTTGACCGCGCTCATTTACCACAGATGAAAACGCGTACACAATTAATTGTGTGACCGTCGATAGACCTTTTCTGAAGCCGTGCTGATGTTTGTATATTAAGTTGCTTCGTTCCAAGTATTCAGTGGTATATTTTGAAATAATATCTTCCAAAAGTTTAGTAGACGTCGATGTTAAAGATATGGAACGGTAATTTTGAACGATCATTGTGTCCCACGATTTGTGAGTAGGTACTATTTTGCCGCACAACCAATCTGCTGGTAAGCTGGACTGCCGGAGCGAGGCCTGGAAATTTATGACGAGATATCGAGAGGCCAACTCAGCGTGCCTTTTCAAAACTCATTGGAAATGTTGTCCGGCCCAGAAGATTTTTTAACATTAGTATTTAAAAGCAAGTTGAATGCACCGTTTTCTGAAAGGACCAGATCCGACATACGGGATTCATCTGAGCTGCTGATTTGGTCTCCCAGCTGGTCTCATGACGCAGTAAAGACCACTGATCTCTATGTCTATTTGCTGGATCGCGTTTGACCAGCTCCGCCTATGGACCGAAATGCGGTCACTGGCGGCCATCTTTAGGTAGAGTTATATCATCTCTAGCCATCATAGTAATATGGCGGACAGCGCAATGGCGGCCGGGTGCCATAAAATAGCCGTGGATCTAGTACACTGTACCGTGGGAGATAATTCGTGCTTGATTGAAGTTGTTCGACGACGTAGATTCTTGAAACCCGGCGTGAACGGTAGCCTCATCTTTGAGGACCCGGAGAAAGTACTACGAAAGCGCAGCACCGGGGGAAAGCAGCGCAGCTCGCAGCGAAAGCAGACTCCGTAACGGCGTCTGCTTTTGATGCCAATTTTGATGCGACTTTCGATGCGAGCTGTGCTGCTCTTCCCCCGGTGCTGCGATTTCGTGAAACTTTCACCGGGTCCTCAAAGATCGCGCTACCGTTCACGCTGGGTTTCAAAAACATGTTTCGTCAAACAATTTCAATCAAGCACGAAATATCATCCACCCTATTTTGACGGCAGCCTGCCACCACACCTGCCAAAACGCTGTCTGCCATGGATGGATTACAGTGGCTGCAGGAGCTGTACCTTGGCTAGAGGTAATATAACTCTACCTAAAGATGGCCGCCAGTGACCGCATTCGCAGAGCGGGCAAACGCGATCCAGCAATTGTCATAGAGATCAGTGGTAAAGACTGACTGAGAGTACTTATGAAATTCATCTGCTATTCTAATAGGACATGTTACAACCTGAGCGTTTACCTTCACTTGAGATATTTTTTTCCTTATTGAACGAGAAAAAAAAGCCAGAACGTTTGCGGAGATTTCCACAAGAAACGCGAGAGCACAATATCCACAATAATCTTCTCTAGCTTGGGCGACAAGATCCTTCAATTGTTTTCCATACTAACCGGAAGACGTGCTCTCAAACGGGTTGCTTAGCACTTGGGCGAATTTCACCTGCTTCAACGGACATCTTGGTGACCAGCTGTTTTTAGACTTGACGTTTTCTCTGTCTGTCGCCCGTTCAATACACTAAATCCTGGCAGTTTTTATGTTTATTTATTGAGTTCCTTCAAGGATCGCTTTTAGGTCCATTGGAGAGGATAGTTCCCTCTGTGAATGCACAAAAAAAAGAAAAAAAAGAACAGTGTCGGATTTGTAGGACATGCTTTTAGTATGAAATATTCTTAACTTCTTTTATATATATATATATATATATAATATAATAATAATAATAATATAGATAGTATAGATAATATAGAAAGTATCCAGAAATAAAAATTAATTGCCATTCATCAAATTAAGACCATGGTCTTAATTTGATGAATGGCAATTAATTTTTATTTCTGGATACTTTCTGAGTAATCTATAGAAGTAGACTCTAAAAAAGAAATGTTGCCTCCAACTCCCCCTTCTGCACCCCCCCCCCCCCCCCCCCCCCGGGCCCTCCTTCTCTCTCTCAAAAGGTGAAAGCAGCGCAAAAAACGACGGACAGGGTAAAGAAGGACACAGAAAGAGCGCTCTTTCTGTGTCCTTCTTTACCCTGTCCGTCGTTTTTTGCGCTGCTTTAACCTTTTAAGTATGTCATACCAACTCGCCCAGGCTTCAACTTTAGCAACATTTATTTCTCTCTCTCACTCTCTCTCGCTTTCTCTTTGTGTATGATTCGGGACACCGCTCGTCTCCGCTTTCTGAACAAATTCAAAACCAAGCCGATATTGATGACAAAAAAAAAAAAAAGTTTCCATATAAGCCAATCTTCTACTTGAATAGACCACGATGTAATTTTACTACTTTTAGTTAATGGTAACCCCAATAAATTCTGAGTGTCAATAGAACGCCGGTCAAGAATCCTATTTAGTTTCAGTGCAATCAACGTACCCGGAAATATTATTCAAAGGCTGCGTCGGCTTCTCTTCTCGGCTCACCTCCGAAAGGAGCACTTGCAATTGTGTCTTTACGTCATCAGTCGTTTGGCGCTCGGTGACGTGACCATCCGTCGGCGAATATTCGGGCTGGCGTTCGTGCACCTCCAGTTAGCGCAATGACGGAAATTACCGAAAGCCGCGGTCAGGCTGCTTATACATCGTACAAAAAACAGTCCGCAGATACTAGAGAGTTTTAGGGAACCGCTTTTGCACGTCCGATACGGTATGCGATGGGCTCTCCGGTACGATCAAACCGCGCATGCGCTATACCGCAGAAGGCTAGCGCATGCGCAGTTCGTACCGGAGGGTCCATCCTACCGTATCCGATGTGGCCGAAACGGTTCCCTAAAATTCCCTACTGTCTGAGGCGTGTTTCTTCATTGTATAACGGCCCTGTCACAATTAATGGTCATACAAAAACTGTCTGCATACGCGTTTAAAGCATACATACGTCGTATGTATGTACCGTGTATACGCAGATAATGCTGTCATCGTGTCCGGAGCCAACAGAGTGTCTTTTGTATACGTATGAACAGCGCGATTGCACGTGACGTAACTATTTCTAAATCAGAAGATTGGGCGTCTTTGCTGGGGGCGGCTGACGTCACCCGGGATTGTACTGCGCAGGGCTCGAAGGCAAAGACTCGAAGGAAGCTGCCAAGTGCGCGACCATCGTGACTGGGATTGCGTCGCTGTTTGCGAGCGTGCGTCGCACCAAGTCTCAGAACCTCGCCCCTGATGATGACGTGAGTATTTTTTTGTGGTTTTTATTTGGGGATCGGTAGCGTTGGGTAAAGTATATCTAAAAAAGTACTTGGAGTAAAGTATAAAGTAAATTAAAGGTTATGTACTACAAGTAAAATAGTTAGTACACCGAGCGCAATGTACTTGAAGTAAAGTACCTTAAATGCGATAATTTTTTTAAAGTAAAATACAAGCACCTTTTAACGAAACTTTCGTGATACCCAGTCATTCCCCTGCGCAGCGTTCTTTTGCAATTTTTTTTTTTATTGGCATGTATTGTTTTAGGGGTAATCGGCGTGCATCAGTTATTTTTGGAAGTGGCGACGAATATTGGATAAAATCAAGTGTCTACGAAGCAGTTTCTTTTAGTGTCGCTGACAAGTTATTTAGCGCCATAAACTTATAAGGCACTTAGTTGTAACGGTCTTATAGACGATGCAACTGAGAAATGACCTGAGCGATGCGTCGCGTTTCTGGTGAGAGTAGTGTGTTCCTCCCAGCATAACTTCAGAGTTGACAAAGCATCATTTTGTGATACTGAGTTAAGAAGGTCAAATTTAGGGAATGTACTTTGAAGTCGGGAGTTGTACCCTCCTCATAAAGTATAAAAAGAACAAAAACTTAAAGTAAATTACAAGTAAATATATAGAGAACATGCTTCAATTAAAGAACACATTTTCGAAACCTACTTGAAGCAGTATTTGAAGTGCAATGTAATTAATGTACTTCCCAAGACTGGTGTTAGTAAGGTATAATTTATAGCTATCGATGTTCTCATTTATTACAACGTATTCTAATGTATCTAATACGTCGTGAGTTTTTTGGTATTAAATAATATTTATATAGGGTCTTTAGAGGGTGTTTTCACATTAGATTAAGAGGTTACGGAAAATTGTCAGTTCTAATTTTATCGCGATTTTTATTTTCTTGTCCAATATTTTGACCGTTGGAGTAATTATTTTCGGCGCATGGTGGGTCATCATTATTTTTAAACGTAATTTAGAAGAACAACTTTATTTGGTTTGTAGCATATTTAAAGCCAGGAGTGGGAAATTGTAATTTTAGAAATATGCTTACGGGGAAAAAATGTAATACTTGCCGGCGATTTTCTTTAGGTATAAATATTTTGAGTATAAGTTGCGAATTTTTTGTTTTGTTTTTATACTAGTAGCAAAAATCTTAAATTACGTTCAGTGTATTATATATAAAGGACGAAACACGCAGGGTCTGTTTTTCAATGCCTGAGCCGAGGCTGTCAACCTTAAAGTTTACCACGCTAGCGTATCACACCGATTTGATAAATTTTAGGCAATTAAGGAAGTGAACGTCGTCCCTGTCACCATATACCTGTGCCAAAACAGCCATTGATATCGACACTTATCTTTGACATCAAAACGCCCCCCCCCCCCCCCCCCCCCAATCTTTATTGAAATAAATGGCTTAATTTTCTTATTCTGTTAACAAACCCATTGTGTTCTCCTAGGTGTACCCAACGTTCTGCGAAGTGCAATGTAAAATATATGGTTGTATAGTGCAAACAGCATAGACAGTTTTTTTTTAGCTTTGACCGTATTTGGAATGCGTGTGACATGTTTTATTTAATCTGTCCTTTTATTTTGCCGGTAAGGTGCTATGTTTATATACAACTAAGTTTGTAACATGTGGTGTCAAAATTGAGATGTGTTTATTTTACGCTTGTTTCTTTTTATCTGTTTTCTTTTTCTGTTTGATTTGTTTTTCTTTTATGGACTGCCTGTTCTCACACACAAGCACGCAAGTGCTTTCGTGAGGCAGTAATTAATGTATGTGAATGATTTTGTGCTAATAAAACTATTATTATTATTATTATACCTAACACATTGATTGGTACGACAAGACTCAAGTTGCGCGTTAATTACGTTTCAAAATATTTATAGACAGATGTAAAACTATTGATCTCGGCTTTAATTAAAGCGAATGCCAGCAAAAGGTGATTGCAACACTTACTTTAAAGTAAGTGTGGGAATCAGCTTTGTTGGTGCTTTTTCCCGTACCAATAACCGTTAGGCGTGGTACAAGCCATTTAAACAAACGAAGGCGATATAAAGCTAAGTACGGGCACTTCCTCCCCTCCGTTTGTAATGCACATTTTGTTGGAGGTTAATAGTGAAATTTGTTTTTACGGATGTTTAGACAGAGGGAAGGTGATCTGCCTCAAGGGGCGCCTGCAGGTGTCTCCGCTGTAGGTAGCCAGTCTAATACACAAATACTAGCTTGGGGTCTTTGACGTGTGTTGCCACTCAAGTAGAACTGCTGACTTGAGGTCTTTAACGTGCACAATGCAGTAGTTGTTCACAAACGCACACCGGTACCCTGTCTTCGTTTACGCTTACAGAAGCTGTCCGAAGCGAAGGACCTACGGGAGAAGGTGCCCAGGTACCTGAGGTACTTCGAGAAACTACTCAAGCAAAACAACACCGACTACTTCGTTGGAGATCAGGTACGCTCCACGAATTGCGCATTTTGTGTAAAAGCTGGTTTATACAATTGTGCTTGCTTACGACCGAGTTCTAGTGATCTCATACGACGAGCGTTCACGCTGGCACGCTGGCGCCATGTATGAAGTGGTCCTGGAACCGCATTTCACAAAAGTGAAGTTTTTTTTTTCATTATTTACGAGATCAAATGTAGGCACTAATTATGAGAACTAGTCATTTTCAAAATTTTATCCAGTCAAGAAGAAAATAATTGATACGGGGGAAAAATAGAGAATATATACGAAAAAAAAACAACTGTTCGGCGACTACCCGATAGATGGCGCCAGTATTTTCTCGTCGTGAGAGATCCCTAAAAGTTTTAATGCGTTTTAGAAATAAATGAACTGCGTAAAGGACGAGGACAGAGGTAGAAACAAGTACGACACACGGAGCGCAGACTTCCAACTGTTTATTTGGCGCAGACACAACAGTATATATGACAGCAGCAATCAGTTTGCGGTTAAATAAGGTTTAAACATGACCGTCCAAAAAAGAGAATTCCTTGTCTGATAGTGAAACAGATTGCATGCTTATGCAGTCGTGACCTTTCTTTTTAATGAAGTAGGCTTCTACGAGTTTTCTTTCCGTTGCCTCATTTGCTCTTGCGAGAACACGTGTCCTTTGCAAATCAGGATGACAACCGCATGCATTTCAAACAATGTACAGACAGATGTCCGCCTGTGTTGTTTTTTATCGACAGAAAGTGTTCTCGTGCCCTCAGGTTGAAACAACGTCCAGTCTCGCCAATGTATACTCGCCCGCAAGAAAGCGGAATTTCATAGATAACACCGGATGCGCATTCCGTGTAGCGCGTGCTGTGCTCCTTTTTGCATTTGTTGATGTTCACTCTTGGCTTCATCATAGGGCACACTTTACTGAGTTTGCAGGGCGCTGAAAAGACGACCGAGAGACCATAACTGGCCGCTACCTTTTTCAGGTTATGGGACAGGCCGTGGTGGTACGGGATGACATGCATGCGCATTTTTTCTTTTCGCCTCTGCTCATTACTACCAGTTTTCTGCTTCTGTAGCAAGCGCACGCATACAGCAGAGACCAAGTGTTGGGGGTACCCTGCGGCAGTAAGGCGGTCACACTGATCGCGGAAACTGGACGCCATTTCATGAACACATGATTTTTCTAATGCTGAAGTACAGCTAGACATAACGATGGCTCTTTTAACAAGCTTTGAGTGAGCACTGTCATAGGGCAAAAGGCCCTTCTTGGTCCTAGGGTGGTATGACCAGCAGATGTGGTTGTCACTAAACGTTATTTTTAGATCTAAAAACTGGATGGAACCGTTAGTGGTCAATTCATGGGTAAAATTAAGGCCATTGAATGCTGATACGAAGATGGATAGAATGCTAGAAACAGCCTTGTGAATACAATGAGAACCTTCAATATCTAAAAGCACAAGCTAGTCATCGACGTATCTAAAAACGCGCACTACATGCTGATCACAAAGGTGTTGCTGCAAGCGCCTGTCAAAAAAGGACAAATACATATCACATAGCACGGGGGCAACCGCGGACCCGATACAAATGCCGGTCTTTTGAACATAAAACCTCTCCTCGTGCGCAATTACTGTAGAGCTCAAGTAGAAACGCAACAGTTCAAGGAAACTCTCAGTGCTAATACCGCTTTCACTCTGAAAACTAATTTTAATGCGCTCGGTCGTAAGCAGTCGCAAGTGTATGAACAAGGCTTAACATGCACACTCACTGGAAATGCAGGACGTGACGGTAAAGCCCCTCTATACTGAAAAGTAGCGCCATTGACTGATGCTCCGACACAGTCTTACGCCCTAGAAAAATACTACTCCCCCTCTTCGACGTTTCCCTTGCCACTACTACTGATTGGCCGAGCGTCCGTCCGGCTTCGACTCGCCACTTCCGTCCGCCATTTGTGACCTCCCGTGTCGAGGCTTCGCGTTCTCCGGCGGCGTGCATACTACGTTGCCTGCCGTCCGTCGAAGCTTTCTTTTATCGGTAGAGCGTATGTTGCGTGTTTTGCTTTTAGAAACGATATCGAATCGCCGCTATAACGTGGCGTCACTGAATCATTTGCGCGTGTTTACAAAACGGTAATTCACGTTTTTCATCGTGATGTTTAAAACCCGATACTGAGGTGAAGGAAAAAAATGAGGGTAACTTTGAAGTCTTAGAAAAAAGGCACCGGAGAAGACGTCTCAAACTCAACTAATTTTTTTTTTCACCTCTTTCCCTCCTTATATAACCCCGATAGACCAATACCTCCTAGATAAGAAAACCAGTGCTTAATTTTCCTGCGTCACTAAAGAGGGCCACCGCAGACCGGAGATTGGACACAACTACGGCGTCAACTTTTCGCTGGAACTCGGGTTCAATTAGTGAGAACACGACTCCTAGCCGAGCCGATTTTTGTATAATTAGGGTATATTTAAAAGTATATTATTTCTTAGTGAAATGCAGAATGACCATATGCGGGTATGACATCCGAACATACTTTACTTGAGTGAATGTATTACAGTTGGGTGAATGCTCGGTTCACAAATTTGCAGGTGAGCTTTCCTCCGTATCTGTCAAAAGGCCGGTGAGCTTTTCTCCGCACCGGATCGACGGTTTTGCGGTGAGCTTTTCCCCGCCGACCGACGTTTCTCCCACGTTTTTCATCTCGTCGTCACTTTGGCGTGTAAGGGCAGAAACAAAAAGGCACAAGCAGCGATGATATTTGCGAGTCAAGTCGGCGACGCCGATACTATATGGTATACTTTGCTCCGTTCGCAGCATATATGGATCACGGCTTCGCATTCCATAACGGAAGACGTGCGCTATTTCGCGCTTATCGCCTTGGCTCCCCTGCCTGCTCAAGAGCAAATGAGGCTAGGCCGGTATGTCTCACAGTTAACTTTTATTGTATGAATTTTTATAAAGCGGAAGACTGCATCTGATCTCGAACCGTGTGATCCGAGCAGACGCACAACCGAAGCCTCGGCAAAACTCGCGCACCTGCTCCAGACGCGAAGCAATGGAAAGATAAAACCAGTAGCCAAGACGTCAGGAACACATATCCAAGCGAAAACGGGAAAGCTGCGGGTCGGAATTGCGCAGCAAACAGCGATATAGCGAGGGTTTCCCAGCAGCCACATGAAAGAGGGAGAACCTGGCGGAGGGATGAAAAAAACGAGAATTTCTCGAGGGACAGAGAGCGCTACTTTCAAGGGGCCTTCGTTGACGGCCCCGAGGAGTCCCAAGAGTAATCTCGTTTCGCAGTCAATTAGGTTTTGTGACACGAGCCGATAAGAATGCCAAATAACGAAGCAAGAAGCGAGAACATTTCACAATAAACCACGCCATGTGTTTCTTGAGCTGTCAGTGTATAAAGCAGTATTTATACCCGCAGAAGATTACCACGGCATGACAAAGAGGACGTTTTTTTATATGTATTTTTTTAATAGCTTGGGCGATTTCAGGCGTCCCCATTTCTGCAAACGTGTTGAAATTGGGTTGACGTACGTTGTTCTTAGAACTACGAATGAAAAGACGCCCCCTATACTGTAAAAAAAAAAAGTATGCGTGTTCACTTTCCTGTAGAACACGGGTACAGTCGAACAGGGCGAACGATAGAAAGATCCCGGTGCATGACGAAGCACATAATACGATTGGATCTGAACAGATCGTACGCGACCTGCGCAAGTGACACTGAGCAACCGAAACGCCATGCTCATTGTTCCAGCGCACAGCGCATATTTCGGTCTATTCTGAGCTTCGGTCGCCCCGAATCGATTCACTAGGCCTCCATTTTCTTCCATTGTCCAAGTCCCGAACGATTCGCACACGCATGCGCAGTGGCGTCGGCGAATCGCTCGGGGACAAACCGGTCGCGTCAAATCGACACACTATGATGCGTCATTCACACCGGTGATTGAACCGGAATCGCGAAGCGGTTGCGAGCGCGGCCACGTAAAGATTCAGTTTGGTTTCATGCACCTTTGATGATGAAAAGGAGCGCATCCGCTTCGCGGTTGCGATTCGAACGTCTGTGTGAATGCAGCATAAAACTCCCTATTCGCTTGGATCCTTGAATTGCTCGCGGTGATTGGCTTTTTCCATGTTCTGCAAACAATTTTTAACCTCCAGGCGCTTTTTTTTTTAAGAGTTACTTTTTAGACATTTTAGCGGATCTGGTTGCCGCTCACACAAATTTAGCTCAAACGCCAACGCTGCGCCCTGAACCGAACAGAAAGCTGACAGCGCTTCTCTATATAGCTTTCGCCACGCTTGCACGGGCGCCGATCGTGTAACGATCCGTCTCGCCTTCAAAGAGCGTCACTCGGCAAGTGTTTGTGGGCCGCCAAATTTAGCAGGCTGTATTCCTGGCTTGGGTCTCGTACCACTTTTGGAAAGCTCACCTTCTTCACGCGTGCACTTGAAGTGTATAACCGCTGGTCGAACCGACGCGGCGAGGCGCCGTGTCCCTCTGTCTCTCGTGCGCATGCCCGGCAGCTGACCTGGGCGGACCTGGCGGTGACCTTTTCGTGCCAGCAGCTGCTCCAGCGGTTCCAGGGTGCCCTGGATAGGCACTCGCAGCTCAAGGCCCACTACGAGCGCGTCACGGCTCTGCCGCGAGTCAAGGCCTTCCTGGCAGAACACGCGGCTGCGGCGGATCGCTAGCAGCCGGTGGTCCGGGGGCGTCGTCGATTGTTGTGTTCGGTTTATTTATTTATTTATTTTTATGAAGGGCACCGGTGTAAACGCATTCGATGCTCGCAAGCAGGAGTGGGAACCCCTGGTAGCGCAAGATGACGGCTCGAACATGGAGTTGTGATTCCCTTTGAAAACGGAAACCGGTCGGTGCCGACCTTTCTCACCCTGTACAGAGTTTGTGAACGTGTCAGCGTTCAGAAGGTACTACGGCTCGGAACAGGAAAGAAGCACTTGTGAGAAGTACATTAAAAGCCCGAACCCCATATTAAAAAAAAAAAAAAAAGAAGAAGAAGAGAAGGAAGCTATGCAATGCAGGAATTTTGGCAAAGTGTCAGTTTAATGTAGGCTTTTAATCATCATTTAAGAATACTGGAGGTCCTGTAGGGCCCAAACAGACGTAAACCCAACAAAAAAAAAAAAAAATGCAGACGTAGCTTTAATGCAAAAAGAAGACACTAGCAAAACAATATAACAATGAGAAAGTAAACTTGGCTCGGCAAGTGCGCATAAACATTCAGCTTTAAGAAAAAAATTATAAGAAAATGGGGTCCCAGTTCAAAGAAAGTTGAAGGTATACTTCCGAATCAGCGTTAACGTGTCGGTGTATTGTTGATGAAAATGTACTGGGTGCCCCACTCTCGTCATTAAAATAATAAAGGAAGTCCCCTGGTCCCGCTATGCAAACGAGCTATAAACACTGCAGCGACCAATTTTGTGTTTTGAGCAGCGAGGATGTTTCTAGAAGGACATATATGAGAACAGGTAGTACTGCAAAAGATTGCGCGGGTCGTCGGAACGCTGATTTAGTTTTGTGTATCGACGGATGGTTTTCGACAAGAGGGGTGCGTCTGTCTATGCTGTTTTAAATTTACATGTTTTGTCTCACAAGCCAACAGTGTTTGCAAACGGTAAGGTGCAGTTTTACGCTGCCGGGTACATCTAGGGTTCTAATGTACAATTCTTGACGCTCGAGCGCACACTCCAAAGTTAATTCGCATGACCATGCCAAAAAAAAAAAAAGGATATGCTTCTGTACGGTGCATTGTTTGTGACAATAAAACACTGGCTCCCGCATGTTTAGGTCCATTCACAGAGTAGCGCTGGACTGCGTTGTGGGGGCTAATTACGTCTGGATACGGCTTCGAGTTACTATGGCAACTCTGCGTTGCGTCGCTTGGTTTCTTTGGCAAATTCGCAGCCACGTCTCGACGTCAAACGTAGTCAAACGTGCGAATGATCCTTCGTAATTCACGACGGTCGCTTTTACAAGCACAGCTGGGATTCGCTTTTGTTATGATTATTAAGTTGACCTTATCATGTAACTCAACGTAATGCTAATGTTCAAGAATACACACAATTCCTGAAGCAACAAAAATGAAAACCGAAATAAAAAGTATGCACACGAAGTGTTTTGTCGACATCAATGTCTCGTCTTTACATGGGACACGGAAGGCCAGAGTTTATATCACCAGCGCTTGTCGCATGATATCACTCGCGGTGAGGTGTTTCGATTATGGACTGTGACGTAAATTAAAACCTGGATATATTTTCCGCCGTTATTTCAAGGGGCCATGAAACGCTTTTTCAACTTCTTTCTCCTTAGCTTTAATCCTGAACTCAAAAGCGAAATGAGAAATCACGTGTTCGTGACTTGCTTGTACTGCACAAGCTTCCACCGTGCTTTTTAAGCCCACCTTGCAACATGTCATTCGCGAGTGATGATAAGTTCCGTCAGGGCACTCATTGGCCACGAACACGAATCCAAATATTCGTCGACGGATGGATTGTTGACGGGCGCATACGTCCGAGTGACGCAGTGCTCGTGTCCAATGCGTGAGCTGGGGTCGGCAGACGTGCTTTGGCTACCGTGGATGCATCACAGCGAAAAGTGCAGAGTACTCAAAGGAAAGGAGGTATGAAGTAGTGCACTATATTTTTTAAATATTTCGTAGCAAAAAGCAGGCTTTTTCCGCTTTCTAATATCTGTTTTTGGCCCACTAAGCGATTAGTAAAATCCCAACCTAAAATGATTTATCCCAGACCGAAATTCCTTTCATGGCCTTATTAATGCAGGCAAAGAACTGATTTTAATAATTAACGAAGACACGTAAACAATAATTACATTAAAATCGACAACAGGCGCACAGCTCATTTGAAAGGCTTTTTATATTTTGTAATAAAAACATCGTGAAAACTCGTATACAATCGTACAGGGATTTTTTTAGTAACAAAATCGTTGAAATTATTGGCAGCTTAAAAAAGACAGGGCATGACGTCTCCCCAGCATCTTATTATGGCTCCACATCCAATGAGGTTCTGGCCGGCAAGAGCGCCGGAGCGTCCACGAATCGGAAAGCAAGAAGTCGGAACATCATAAACCACGCCCCGCATTTAAGCTGCCAGCTGCTATAAGGATATCTTGTCCTATCTTGTCAATGCTGCGTCCCTATTAATTGCATTTTACTTCCAAACATCACGTTGCAAGCAAACATAAGAGTACGGCAGCGTACCCAGCGCCAACGCAGACGTTGCAAGGGTCCCAAGCACGCATATTGACCGCAGGGGCAAATTTAGGGGGGGGGGGGGGGCGGCGACCGCCCCTCCCTTCCCCCTTTTCCTGAGATCCCCAAGGTCAATTAAAAAGAAATCATTGATATACATTAGCCAAAAGTTTAGTTTTTGGTGACATAGCAAATATTGGGTCAACAAAATAGACCTAGGCAACGTTTGGACCGCCCCCCCCCCCCCCAGGCCGAACGCCTACCGCCCCCCCCCCCCCCCCCCCCCCCGCCCCCCAGGCCTGACCCATAAATCCGCTCCTGATTGACCGTGAGGTTTCACGCATTCGTTTCTTTACCATGCCATCAGTACATGCCCACGAATAAGCTACAGGGCACAGGAGCGCCGGCTCGTCTGAAGTTGTCGCCCTACAGCCACGCCTTTCAGAAAACCCTGCATGCATTCTGCTTTGACATTGACACGGAACGACAATCATTTATTCATTTTAACGCGACAGCGAAGCTGTGTCGCAGAAATTCCGGCGTCGGCGTCGGTGGCGTTGTGACGGTAAAATCCTGATTGGTCGATAGGGTCATGACATCACGGACACATGACCCCGCGCTGGAATTTCAAACAACCCACAACGCTCACATGTAACGTGACGTCACGTGTGGAATGCAAGTGATGAAAAAAACATGCAATGTAATGCGGAGTAAATGTCGCCGCATGTCTCGTATGACTTCACTTCATAAAGTAACATACCCTTTAAAGGGAAAACGCCACCAGGTGGTGCTCCAGTCTTTGACGTCCCAGAGAACTTTAGGTTTATAAAAAAAGAATGAACAAAGGCCACTGTAACACCGCTGCATGAAATGTAGATGAAGCGTTTACCCGCCAATTCTCTACGTGAACGTCAAAAGAACGAAGGAGTGCGAGATATGTTAAAATGTTTCGAGTATTCTTGTAAACCAACTTGCCTCCTCCAAGATGTAATATTGTACAGCCGAAGGCCCTCGTTAAATCTCCCACTTTGTGTAGCATTTATGCTTTCTAGCACTGGTGACATAAGCAAGCTCAAAAGGCTTGCAAAGATGGTGCGACCGGAAGTCGCTTGGGTCGCAAGCGGCAGTTCATGTTCGCAAACAGAAAAAAAAAAAAAAAAAGTCTTCATTTGCCTTAAAAAATTTGAAGAATTTTAGGTGGGTTTCAAACCCACGACCCTTGCCAGTGCAATGGGGGCTGCTAAGCCTGGGGTCTTTAACGAGCATCACGCAGTAGCGATACGCGACCGCACGCCGGCACGAGGCTCATCTGGTTCGAAACGGGCAGCGTGGAGATTGAGCCAATTGGCTCAATCTCCACGCTCAATCTCGCGCTATAGAACCCAAAACTCCTTAAGGAGTTTTGGGTTCTATAGCGCGAGCTTTCGTTTTACGTGCTCCGAGCTGCGATGCGCGAACACACTCGGCCACCGTCGCCTTCATTGAAGAGGTCGGGCATCGGTGGGGGAATGGGACGGTTGCCTTTTGGCCACTGAGACTGCGGAACCATCGGAGCCGAATACCGCTCGCCTTCCTCAGTGGCCAAGTTGGTTCACCTGCGAGTGCATTTCGGGGAAAGAGAAATAGTTCTAGCTAGCAAGCATTTTTGTTTTCGTAAGCCACCTCTTTTGTCTGAGTATTTTCATGTCAAATAAGATTATTATTATTTTTATTCTTATTAAATCGTAGGCGAGAAGGGATCGCCTCTATCCGGGATGTATACAAAGAGTAACTCGGCCCCATCGTACATCGGAATGGCCGCACAGTTCCCCGCGCCGCGCGCGGAATCGCGGGGTCGCCGAGAAGTCTTGTGGTATTTTCAGAGAAGTTCTATTGGCGGAGCATCCGTCAGCGCCCTTTATTCAAAACTGGTGCCTAAAAAAAAAAAGAAAAAAAAGAAAGAGACATTAAAAAACCAAAGCTCCGCTTTATGCCCAAGTAGCCGCCTCGGTGCATAAGACATTGAGCGGAATGTTTTTTTTTCTTTTTTAAGAGGTGAAGTTTTTTTTTCTCCATTTTTTATGTTGTGACAGGCTATACATGGCATGAACGTGACGTCGTTGCATCATGCTGGTGGTCGTTCCTGCTATAGTCCCTGCCAAAACAAACAAACGAATTCACTGCTGCGAAATATATGCCGGAGAAGGTGCGCACTCAGCAGCAAGTCCACCAAATAGCCGCTGAAGTGACGACAATGCACGCCACGTACAGCTTACGAATGAATGCAACCGCTGCGGCTTCAACGGCAACTGTACGCGACGTGTACACACACTTGCAACCGCATGCAACCACACGAATCAACAGCCAATGAGAAACGAACTTTAGCTCTTGCTCCTAGCCGTTTGTAAGCAACCCAGCTGACGGTTTCCTGCCCGACGCGAGGTCCTCAGACTCCTCACCGGAGCAGCCGGAGGTTTAGGCTGTGGCGTACAGTCACGAAGATCTGCTGTGCGCCTACAATAGCTGTGTAAAGACTGGTTCTAACATCTGAAACGAACCCGTTATCCACGACTGCGTCTGTTGTGACCGGAGCGACCGCTCTGCTTTGCGCGTACACTCCTGCAACCACTGCAACAAGCGCAGCGGGTCGGCAGCACGGCGACCGCCTCTCCGCCGCCGTCAGCTGTTTCAGCGGTGCCTCTAAAAAGAAGAAGACGCGCTGTCCCTCACCTGCGTAACAGAAAATAGATATACCGTCTTCTATGATCACAAACTTGATTTCTTTTTTCAGGATACGCTTGCAGGGT